GCTGAAAGCTAAATATCGGTGATGATTGCGGGTTAGTTGCCAATTACTGCCTAATTGCTAAATGTCAGCAGAAATATTTTATTTTTGATGCTTTTCCTAGACAAGTCTTTCAACGTTTAATTTCCTATACTGACCGTTTTGAAAATTGGACAATTCTTTTTTATATATGATTAATATGAAAAAAATTGTTCTCCATTCCCTTTAATGCCCTTCTACTTTTTTAAACAAAAATTTCTTTACATTACTTTTATCCGATGTAAGCCGCAGAAACCTCTTGTCAATAACTTTCAAAAAAACTAGTTAGGAAAAAAAAAGTTGAAAATTTTCTACACTAAATAAATTTACGTCCTTCCCACGCCAATAAATTGTAACGTCGTAAAAGGATTTCTGGCACATTTATCACGTTCTGGCAAGAGCCCCTAAAGTTGGAAACTTTGCGATTATCACAAAATTCACTGTCGCTCAAATGCCGTAAATTGCGCTAAAACTATTATGTGGTATTCTGAGTAATTTATGTAATAATTGAGTTTGTGCAGCTAATAGCGTTATTACTATAAAATGATATTAAATTATAATATAGTAATATAGTCTAAAAATTCTTAGTTTGCTGGTGCTATAATATACCGATGTCAGTTAATATTCCCTGAAGGATGGATAATCCTTGCTGTTAATTAAGGATCAACGGCAACGCAGAATAGCAGGAACAACACTACTAACGCCAAAATACTGTTTGTAATCGAGAAATGTGTTTGTATAACCAAGAATTTTGAAATACCAATATTACCAAATATAGTATGTTATACAAAAAGTTTATCACCTGAACATACTCCTGAAATCGCCATGAAGTTATTTGATCTTTACAATCATTCAGCCATTTTATCAAAATGAATAGTCTTCAAATGGAAGAAAGATGATCCAAGACGAGGACTGATGGCGCTTTCAAATGTTGCTTCTAAGAGAATTAAATTTTAAGAGCCGAATATTCAAAATAAGGTAACAATATGTTGTTTTTGGCAAAAGAGTGATGGTACAGCTATATTTTCATTCATTATACAAGGAAGTGACTATTACAGCGAGATGGATCATGAACTGTTTTTACTATAGTTGACTTGGCAATCGATTCCACAAAATCCCAAATACTACTTGCATAAAATCTGCAATACAAGAAGAATACATGCAGAGTAGGGAGTAGAAAAATATTTTCTTCTACTCCCTACTCGTTAAAAATTATTCACTGATCAAGTGTGCGCAGTATTACTTTAACTAACCATTGTCGCGGCCCATTTCGGTGCTTTGGTGCCAGTTTTGTTCTTATTTTGACGTTTGACAGTTCTGATAGTCACGTCACACGCCACTGAGTGAATGTATTCCTGATATTTTGCAAACATATACGCCAAAAGTAATGCTCGTAAAAAAAGTATAGCATGCCACACTTTGATAAATTTCTTCACGCAGTCGCACTTGCTCCGCTCGTGACTAAAATGGTGATTATCAAACTTGTTGCATAAATTCCGCTTGACGCTTATAGCCACAGCGTAAACTAAAACTCGAAATTCGGATTATCTTTTATGGGTTTGCTAACGGTATTAACCCAGTGCCTCTTTATTGTGTTAAGGGATGAGCTCTTAAAACTCTGTGTACAATGATAGTACATGTCGAAAAATTGTTTGCTTATAACACACTTTCTCTGTTTTATCGTGGAAATTAGGGATTGTAAAAATTACGTTCTTTATGTGATTCCATAACCTTTTTTAATTACTTCTAGAATGGCAACGCATATTTTTATAATTACAATCCAGTTTTGCTGGGTTTTTACAAGGTTATTCACGATCGTACAATCTTTTGGCAGGTTTCAATAACCTCTCGTAAGCAGAGTTAATCGCTAGATACATTATCAAGCGTTAACGATCTTCCAAAATTGATTGCGTAAATCGAGTCGTTTTATGTATCTGGTTGGTAGTCTTGTCCGCAAAGCGGAGTCCAGTTAATAATGTTCGTAATTTCAATGTAATATACAGACGGGGTCGGTGGTCGGTATCAGATTGTGACTTAATTATTTCCTTTATGTTTAGACAATTGAAAAGAATTTATCAATTCAGTGATTGATTTTAGACGTACGAATAAGAAACTATTATAGATAATTTTGCAGAATCTGAAAAACAAATTTGTAATAGCAATAGAATTATTAAGAGCAATATGCTCGCAATTCAAACAAAAGCTTTTAAAACTTTTATGTGGTGGAATTGTTGCCGCGAGTAATTGCTGTTGACAATATATGCGCTACGTTGGGCGACTTTCTTTGTTTGCCTTTATTGCAATTATGTACAGTAATAAGTATTAAAAGTAAAACACTTTCCCTATCACATTTAATAAAAACAAAATTGTTCTTTGAGAAAAATTAATCAAGGATTTAAGGATGAGCAAAAATGTGTTAAGAATTCAACAATATTTCATACTTTTTCAAAATTAATTTTACTGCTTTAAGCTTAAGTCAATATTGTTTTTGTTTATCCTGGAATATTTAATATAACTTATCTATCCAAAATTTACTTTAAATTGATGATTAATCGAATTTTTAAATGAAATACGCGACATATTTCTTGCCTATCTTGGTTTTCCTATCAAGCTTGTCAAACGCATTGTATCTGTTTCTTTTTCTTAAGTGCCAATAAAGGATGAAAAAACATAAATAAAAATGTAGAAACAATACGGCAAAAAATTAACGTTAGGTTTTCCACAAATATTTTATAAAGTAAGTGACTCATAATTAATTTTATTGCTTTAAGTTTAAGTCAATATTGTTTTTGTTTCTCCTGGAATATTTAGTAAAACTTATTTATCCAAAATTTACTTTAAATTGATGATTAATCGAATTTTTTAATGAAATACTCGACCTATTTTTTGCCTACCTTGGTTTTCCTATGAAGCTTGTCAAACTCATTGTATCTGTTTCTTTTCCTTAAGTGCCAATAAAGTATGAAAAAAACATAAATAAAAATGTTAGAACAATACGGCCAAAAATTAATGTTAGGTTTTCCACAAAGATTTTATAAAGAAAGAGACTCATAATTAACTGATTTACGTCCATATCTGCTCTACACAGAGTATTGTAATTATAAGAGCTTATGTATATAACTTTTTCACATCTTCACTTGTGCCTAAGCGATTTGTTTGTTATATTTTATAATTGTTCGGCTATCAGAATATCTTTAATAGAGATTTTTTTAATTATTTAATTTTTGACATACAGAGTTTGAGTTTGAGAGCCAGTTTGACGTTTGTTTCCAAAATCTTCATAATCAGTATGAAGAAACGGAGAGGTAGAGGATAAAATAGACCCATCAAATATGAAAATTCCCGCCCATACCTTTTGGATTGCAGATATCTAATCCTGAAACTGTTCACGATTTTCACTGACCTCTTTTGAGTGTGAAGCGATTTTAGTTAGAATTGTGTGCATGCAATTATTTTCCATTTGAGCAAGTTCTTAGAAAAGTTGCTTGTCTTTTTTTAATAATAAGTAAAAACTTTCTACGAATATGTGTGTAAATTTTTCGAATGTTATTCTGAAATTCAAATGAAAGAAAACAAAAAAAAATCGGATATTGGGCAAGTACCGTGCGTTCAATTTATCTTGATAACATTTTAATTGGCTGTAACTTTTTTGTGTTTATAGATATCAAGGTAAACAAAAAAAAAACAAAATGTTGGGTTAGTAGCCAAGTGACGTATAAAACAAAACACTATCAATTTTTTGACATAAAAACCTTCATCATATTTTTTTTTAATGGAACACCCTGTATATTATATATGTGGTCAATAGAATATCTTATTCCGATTACAATGATGTAATACTCGTTTTTGACAAATCGGCAAAAATTGGAAATTTTTGTATAATTTCCAAGAGTGCCGTGACTGACTGCAACAATAATAGTTATTTACAAATGAAAGTAGAACAAAAACACTAAATATAACAAGACACACTAAAGTAAAAAATTCTTTAACTTATCTAAATACCAAATTTTTCTGAACACATTTGCCTTACACTCTAATTGTATAATGTCTTGCATTTAGTAACGTTTCCGAATTGTCTCTTAAATGATTGATTGCCTCTGAAATCCTTTGCCGAAGTTCCACGACATTATTACAAGAAGTTCTGTGGACGTGATTTATTATGTGTCCCCAAAAGAAAAAATTCCATACAAAACTGCATTCTCCTTTGACATTGTTCTTCATTTAGTTTTTGAGTTTTACGAAATTTAAATGCATTATATTTATATCATTTTAAAACTGAGCGGATTGATCCCCGAAAAATACCTGTCTCTTCAAGTACACTAGTAATAAAAGAAGATGGATGTGCTTCACAGAATCCTAATATGTTAGCCTTATTTTCTTAATTTAAAACATTATGATTCCTACATACCTTTTTAGCATTTTATACGTTACCGTTTGCTGCAAATGTCTTTGGAAGCCTTGGAAATATCTGTTTTGAAGGAGACAATAATTCAACCACCAACGTTGTTTACTAATATGTCAAACATAAACATATTTTTGTCAGCCAGGGCATCCTTTGAAATTATATAAAAATTTCCTATTTTTACCGATGTAGGCTTATATGGCAGAAAATTGATTGTGATTTGTTTTATGCGTCACATGAAAAAGACGTGGCTACTTACCCTACATTTTGTTTTTTTGTTTACCTTGATATCTCTAAAAACAAAAGAGTTACAGCCAATTAAAATGTTATCAATGTAAATTAAACGCACGGTACATGTGGCGTAGAGCAGCGCTTATCATCTGTTGCATGGTAAATAACGCAACGTGGAGTTCTCACATCTTACTAGTCCAACAAAACAATAGAACGTTAGGAATTAAATGACGGTGCACTGGAATATGAATATTATGCGAAAACGTCGAGAAAGTTGATGAGACTTCGACTCACGCACTTTCTAAAGTTGAAAACACACTGAGATACGAAACGAACGAGACGTCAAACTTACATGATCTACTCAGTGGTCTACTTGAATCGAAAACTGCGACAAATTATGAAGCAACATTAAGCGGCAAAACCTTTCAAACTAATTTGGCATCAAACAGCGTCGCTAATCTATGAGTATATAGCGCGCTCTGCCACCGACTCTAGCGGCCGATGGTTGGTTTAAAACTGTATCCAGTAGGAGTTCCGACGCGATGGACGGCGTGGTGCCATCGGGATTGATCCAGGCTGGATGCTAACGCCACCTGGAATACGAGCGGCGGGGTCCCGGATGCGAAAACCGGGACTGAAATGGGGTGCGGGATATTCCAGGCCTCCGGGTCCAACAGGTCTTGTAACTCGACCGATTTTTGTGTTGTGTTTTGGTCCTTCTATGTAAAGCATCGGAGTTCTGGGTCATACAGTGACGTAGAGTGAAATTGATTTTTATTGCACTTGGCATAACAAAAATCAAGAGTTTTCCGGACCGGAGCAGTAGATATTAAAAGGCAGAGCATTAAAGGCGATCTTAATACTACCTTAAGAAAAATAATTATTAAACTGATAACTATATTATTGAGGGATAGGATTTATATTGTTTTGTATAAAAATGCAAGCCTCCTTACTTTTTATAAAGAACAGTTTTGATTTTTTTCAGCTCCCAATGTCAATGATGGGGTTACCTAATAACAGCAGATAATACAGTCTTTAAAAGTTCATTGAGGTAGGGACCGTCAAAAGGGAACACGATATATTTTGAGATACACTATACCAATATCTAATTGAAAATATTCTATTTCCGATAGGAATCCACTAGATTTGGTTTCGAGCGTTTCCAGGCAGTTCTTAACGAAACTGCAATTGACCTTCTCCAGTGCATCACTGTGGCTGATATACACCGCAATACTATTAGTATAAATACTTAACACGCTTAAAATCACGTCAACAAACAGCCTTTTGCAGGATCTCGGCTTCTAATGACCTTATCATTTATTGATCAACGGTCCATACACTTCGGTGGGTATTTGTCTGAAATGCTTATATTAGCAAAACTATGTCTAAATTGGAATAACCAAATAGCAATTAACGCTCTGTTTCATCGAAAAGTATTTTGAAAATTTATTCCCAACATCGAAAAAATAGCTTCAAGTTTTGGTTTTCCTTTAAAATATGACAACAGTTGCCAGAAATAAACAATAAAAAAACTCCACCTGAACATACGTTGGTTGAGGGAAACCATGCTTTCTCCACATTACATTCAGTTGTTTCATTAATAGCGTCATTTTCTGTTTACGATCTGCAGACACTTAACTCATTTTCGCATATTTTGAAAAAAAAAAAAATTTAGATACGGCAGAACACAGTCATTACTATAGTCTATCTATATGAACGATATCTTTGACTACGTTACGAAGAGTGTTTTGATTTTAATACCTTAACCTTAAACGTAGACAACACATTTTTTATGCCGTTCTATTCTTATCGGTGGGGAATCCCAAGTTGGAAAATTTAAAAATACCAAATTCATTAGCAATAGCAGCTACTGATTCAAATAACTAACTAGAAATAATAATTGATAAACATTTAAGATGGGACTATCAGCTCAACAATTTAATAAAAGCATTACTCTTCATCTCATCTCCATCTCAAAGTTAAAGATTTATTACGCACTTTTTCAATCTCATTTGACTTATGGTTTGTGTGGATGGGGGGAAGTAAACAAATTTATAAAAATAATTCACAATAAAATTTAAGATATGTTTCCAAAAAAAAATTTCAAGAGTGTGGGCCTCTTAATTTATTTTCTCTGAAAATAGATTAGGAATTTTCAACGGAAAAGAAAAAATATACTTCCACATGGAACGAGGAGCCTAACTAAAAAAAGAAATGTAAAATACCTGGTGTATATAAAAAAATTGGGATGAAAAGTGGGTATAAATGCTAAATTATATTATATAATTCCAGATTATATGAAAAGAATAGTAAATATAAAAAACAAAAATGGATTTCCAAATCTGATAAAGAGTTGTTGAATGTTTTTGATTGAGGTTTAAATCTTTAGTTAGTTTTACAAATTTAAAATGCTGAATCTCAATCTAATTTATTGTAAAATGTGTTTGTATACCTACCTAAAATATGTCAAAGCTCAAATTGAGTAAAAAATGAATAAAAATCAAATTGACTTTCTGTCATTATGAACCAAATACGCACTTGTCTCATTCACAACAAGTGGCCAACCATTTCAATGGTGAGCTCTTTATTTATTAATTGTTGACATAAATATATTTTATTTTTTGTTAATTATTATCGTTTATACCACATAAGCATAGCGTGACAAAAGGCGATTTCAAATATTTTGTAAATTTGGGAGTTGATTGTTTTTATTTTATTGTTTAAGTAGATTAATATTATTCTGAATTGTTCGTTGAGAAATATGAATTCCCATTTAATACCGAGTTCCCTAAAATTTTATTAAAACAAAATTTTGCCAAGGGATTACCTATCCTACTACGACATTCTCAATATAAAATTGGATACAGGCTGATTTTCTCCAAATAGAAATATCATTGACTAGGGTTTTGAATTGAACCTTCTTGTCGAATTGAAAGTTCCGGTCGAAACCACTTTAACGGATAAGTCGGTCTACTTGACTTGATACATCGACGTCAACTGGTATAAGCATGCTTTATCCGACACGACATTTCAAATCGAAAATGTTTCAGATCCTGTAATATATAGAAGTTATAGCTTGTATTGCTTTCCAGAAAATTACTGATGCGTCAAAAAAGTGATCGTTGGTCAACAATTTTAAAATAGGCCTATAATTTGAAACTAGCATCGCCTCTCTCATATTGGAAATAATTTAAAAAGGGTTTAGATATAATTGAATTGCATATTATAATTTTTATGGTGAACATTTCGGGCACAGTTAGTAATAGGGAATTACTATTATTACCAGTTAATGAAATATCCTACAAAAACAAATTTGAATTGTGCTTCAAATACAAAAGAAGTGTAACAAAAAGTTAAGAAGTATTTTTCGCTATTGGGTGGTTTACTTTAGCAACGTCTTTGACAGCTGTTTATGAGGATTGTTAAATATTATACATAATTTTCGGAGCACCCTGTACATCTTTGAAGATGTCATTGATGGGCTTGTCAATAACACGTTGAGATGGCCGACAAATTTAGTGATGTAGGTTTGGCAGCAATATTCTATGATTCTTGTGCTATTCCCAGTCGCACATTAGATAAGAAAAAAAGGACGACACCCTAAAAGTATTTGGTTTAAAAATACTTTGAGAAAAGAAGGAAATACCTGTACCGAATTCCACTGTGTGCTCTTATTGATACCGTCGTCTCTAAAACCGTGACACACCGAATGTCCGTAAATATCTGCTTTAGTAGTAGAAAGATCTCTCCTTTCCCTTTTCAAATTGTCATGTAACAGTATAATTTCATTAAATTAGTAATAATAAAATTAATCATCATATGTTCATTTACTGTAAAATATTACAAACATATAGAGATTACATAAACAATCTATCTAAAAAAAGGGATTATAAGTATAAAAAATTTGCAGCAACTCAAAACCAAAATAACAATGATCAAAATCTCTAACTGCGGATTGGAGCGTCACCTCCAGGTAAGAAAAAAGCATGTGGGTGATACCTTTTCGTTCAGGACAATTTTTTTGCAGACTATCTGAATGTCCAATAATAATAAGTATCACCTAAAATGAGCGCAAATTTTATCTTTTGCAACTTTTTAAATTATATTTCTATGAATGAAACAATTTTTATATATTATTTTCAACTGGCCTAATAGTAGCATAAATAAGAAATGTATTAATTATTTACCCAGTTTTTTAATATAAAATAAATTATGGTTAGAGGAAAAACATCTGCGCCTGACTAGTAGACATTAATAAATTTTTATATCTGAATTGCTTGACGTATATAACAAAAAACCAGAGATTTTGCATTCATAAATTTGACTGGGTCATTCAATACTCCTACATGAAATGTTAATTTGGACAAACATTTTTGGCATTTTCACTTTTTCGTTCAACGTTAATAAATTATCCTATATTATAAATTATAATACATAAATTATACATAATCCTCTAAATATTAAAGCGGGAAAGACCACCTATTTATGAAAAAATTGCTGAGATGAGAAAGTGGTGGATGCAATAGAGAATTTGAATAAAATTTTAATTTGAAAAATATTGCTCATAAAAGATATTAAAAGAACCACAGTTCACAAAAAAACTGATTTTGTAGTTCTATGTAACAAATATAAGCAATTAAAATTTGTAAAATTTAAATCCTCTTTGAAACACGCTGTCATTGGCTGGAACCGGTGGTGACGTCAATTCGCTTGTTAGTGTACGCGCCAACCGGACGGAAGAGACCGACAACACTTTCGTCTTGTTGGTTTTAATTTTAATGTTAGTCTTGCTCCTGTCGCTTGTTTTTTTATCTTGTGTTTAGTACATTTAGTGGATATGTTTATGGTGACATCATACAAAAGCCCAATAGATTCTCTTTTGCTGCAGTTGGCGGTATGAAAGCTAAAAAGTATGTTCATAGAAAATTTCGCCACTAGTTTTAAACCAATATAACATTATAATTAGCTTAAAGCTTTCTAGTTTTTTAAATTCAAATGGTATATCAAATAAAATGTAAATTATTCGACAAAAAATAAAAAGGATCTTTTCTTTAAACTAGTGGAAAACTAAATACTGATTTTAAAGCACATTGGTATTGATAACTTAGTGTTTTTTATTTTATGTAGATCGAGAAGCCTGGAATCGGATGGGTGCAAGTTCGAAGAGTAAAAAATGTTTGCACGGTTAAGGCTAAAGTGACACCTGAACATAATGTGAACAAAAAACGACGGCTTTTATTTTCTGGTAGATGAACTGGCATTTTACGGGTTATACTCATAAACAATGGCACGATTTATAATATACTTTTTTTTTGTGTTGCTTCCATTATTATCAAGTAAAGCACACTGAGCCCAATTACAAACTGGCGGAGATTAAATACAAACATACTTTAAACTGGCCAAAAATAATCATAAATAATATAATCGGCCTA